TTATTATTTTTCTCCGCATTTTTTGTCTTTTTCCCCCAGAAATGTTTTTATGTCCTGATGTCAAAAATACGTTTCTGTACAAATTTGCTTATTGTTTTCCTGTGGACGTGAAAGACTTTAATGCACCTGGAATGGCTTCTCGAGCATGTTGTGCTCAGGGGCTTGGTTTTATTTAGGTTTCCCGCCATCGGGAGGATCGATTCTCTAAAACGTCTTTACTGAAAAGTCCCTCTTTCCCCCCTGGTCCACAGTGTCCGTAAGGCAACTTTTCATACCCACGGGGTCCTGTTCCCGACTCTGTTCCATTTTTCGTTGTGTGTGTGGCTGTATCACGGTATCGTGATGTCTTCAATGATATGATTTTTCTGGTGAGGCAAGTCCCCCCACCCCATCTTGCTCTTTGTCTCTGGTAGAGTCTCGGCCATTTGTTCTTCACTGTTTGCTTTTCCAGAGAAATTCTGTGTCAGAAATTGTTTTGTTTTCGTTACTGTTTGTGTATTTAACGTGTGGCCCAAGACAACTCTTCTTCCTCCAGGGTGGCCCAGGGACACCAAAGGGCCGGACGCCCCCGCTGGGTCCTCTTGTAAAGGCAGAGACCCAGCGGGCCAGGCCCGGCAGCACTCAGCAGGTGGGCGTTACGTGCATCGGTCTGTGCCCCCAGAGGCGGAAATCGGAGAGCTGTCTTGGAATTTTTCCTGCCAGAAGTTCTCCTACTCACCTCTTCAAATAACTCAAGTTGTCTTTTTGCCGTTTTCTAACTTCTGAAATTAGATGCTTAGTGCATTGATTTTCTAATGTATTTTCTGAAATCCATCATCATTTCTTCTTCCCGCCAAGGGTTAGTGGAAGTGTATTTGAAAAATTTTAAATCTATGGGTTCTTTAAATTAATTTTCCTTTAATTAGTCATTCCTTTTTTATTACATTGTAGGAGGGAATATTGACTGTATGATGTCAATACTTGGAACTAGGTTTAAATTTTTTCCATTTTCTTATTATAATTCTGTCAGTCTGCCTTATATTACTGAGGTCATATTATTTTGTGCGTAACAACTGATAACTGTTGTATGTTCTCGATCAATTACATGAAATGAAGGAACCACAGTAGACCCGAACCTCTCAGCGTTCCTCTCCCCTGCACTGTCCCCTGTGCCACCCTCTCCCGGCAGCTCCAAGGCCGTGAAACTGTCCCTATGTCCCTGTCCATCGGGACGCTCCGAGAGCAGCCAGAAAAACTAGAGCAGGTTTTTAATGTGCAAATCTGACACTGCCTGTCTGTCTGTGGTTTGTCATTCCTTTGAGGACAAAATCCACATTCTTTCAGGTGGCCCAGGACCCTGGCGTGTGGGCCCTGCCCTGGTGGCCGCACCTGTCTGCAGGAAGCCTGCTAGCTGGGCACCAGGGTGGGAGAGTCTGACTCTGTGGGGTGGCGTCACGGGAGCGGGGTCAGACTCTCCCACCTGGTGCCCAGCTAGCGGGCTTCCTGTCTCTCAAATGTCACTTCCTGGGAGGGAGGAAGCTTTGCTGTTTTCCTTCACCGTCCTCCGTGGTATGGAAATGAAGTAACAGCTCGTGTAAGTACGTACCCAGCGCGGGTTACACTTGCAGTACTCACAATCCCAGAGAATACTTGCAATCCCACCTCACGGGGGTAGCCCCCCACCTGGCATGGTGCCTGGAGTGTGGGGGGATGAACGACGGAACAGCCCCACGGCCGATCGAGTACGTGCGACCTCAAAGCGGCATCAAAGTCAAGGCTGCAACCCTAGATGTGAACATGTGACCTTCGGTTATCAGCGGGTCTCTAGATGTTTATTTGCTGCAGAGAACACGCCGACCTCTAATTGCCCGAGGCCACTGAGGGACTCACTGGCCATCCGCTGTCACGCCGGAGAGACAGCCTGGGCGGCGAGCCCAAGGAGCGGGTGGTGCCCCGCTCCTGTTGAAAGCTGCGATCAACAGCCGAGATGAAGATGTTGACGTGGCGGTAATCAGACCGCGGGAAGCCGGAGGGATTGCACCTGGGATTGCACGTGGGGAAGGCGGCAATCTGCAAAGGGATCTCGTGCAGCAGGTTGGACGGTTGGATCGAAGGGCAATGCGCAGTGGTGAGGCCATCAGGAAAACACAGAGCACTGGACTCGGGTCCCCCCATACAGGTGAACAAACCGAACCGAGGGAGGGACCGGAAGAGCAGACCGAGTGACGGGCGTGGAGGTGTCCACTGGGGGGATGAGTCAGCGGTGGGCCTGCCTGGGTTCTAGGTTCGTCTCCTTGGCGAGATGCAGTGTGTCCAGAACCACGGAGTCACCGAGATGCCCGGTCGCACCGCCCTCGCCGGGCCGGGGCCAGTTTGAGGGACGGAGGTTGAAGAGGGTGGTGCGAACCACGTATCACCGACACTGGCAACAGAATCCCTGATTCTATTTCTCCTCTCTGGTTTGCTCCCGGTTTACTTCCACGGGAGGAAAAAAGCGCAAAAAGATCCAATTGTCCACCCACTTTGTGACAGGCCGAGATGAGCAAAAGCTCTCACGGAAACGTCAGCTCGGAGCAGACACACTGGAGGGTCCCCGTTCTTCGGGACGCCGAGTTCACAACAGCAGGGCTTGTCCTCTGTCGGGGGGAAATAATAAACTCACCGATCGAAAACCTGCATTTTCCTAGAGAGACAAAACGTGGCACTAGAATTTCATATTGTTTATGAGCACGAGGCCACAGGATTGAAAAGCTGAGTTGAATTTTAAAACAATGGGACTTTTAAAAAATGGAGTTGGGCCCTTTCTTTAATGTGACTACAGGCCAGTGAGGTGAACTTCCGGTGCCTACCTCCTGCTCGGCAGGTGCGCACAGGCCTGCCTGCTCGGAATGGCCCTGGTGGGAACGAAATAAGAAACTATATACCCCCCACCCCCATGCAGCCGAAAGGGACCCCCACCCCCATGCAGCCGAAAGGGAGCTAACAGGAGCCACCCACGGAACCGTGGCCCAGCCAGCTGTCACCTTGCAGGACGCGGTGCTGTGGCTGCTGGGTACAGCAGCCAGGGTCCCCAGCGTAAACAGCCTCAGCCCTGGAGTTAGCATGGGGTCTCTCCGTTAACTTCAGGTTTTCGTGCAGAAAGGGTGCGTTCATTCCCATTGCTTCTCTGATGGCCTTCCTGGCGATGGAGAGGAAGTAACACCCATTTCTGAAAATCACTTGAATTAGAGTTTCCCAGTAAACTTCAGTTCGAGTAGGAGTTCTTATTGAACAGGAGTTACAGCGGCCGGAGGCTACCCTGAGGTGACGTGAGCACTTCCGTAGGGACTTCTGTTGGGCCACCAGGTGCCATTTAGCATCAGCCCGCTGTCCTCGCCTAAATGATAGGACCACAGTGTAGTGGCCTGCGGTCCTATTTAGTGTGGTCCTCTACTTGATTATTCGTTATGCAGCAGTGAGGTGTCCTGAATGCCTAATGACGCCCCGCTGTTTCCAGCGAGGACTACCAAGCGAATCAAACCCCAGGGCGTTCCAGGGTGCCAGGTGGGAACGCTCGGAGAGAGGTAAGATACGGTTGAGTTCCTTCAAGTGCTTAAGAAATGGCCTTGATAGACGATCCCTGGGGGTTAGATGAGAAGATGGAATTTATTTCCTGGTTCAGCATTCGGCAGAAACTGCTTAGCGTTCGTCGCTGGAGAGATAGACAGGTGCGATTTCTCTTCTCAAGAACCTGCACTTGGCTCCACCTTTTCTCTGCCCTTGGCCCCCCCCCCCCCCCCCCCGGCCCTCATTTTGCATTAGAACTTGTAGGAGTGGGCTCGGTACTTTGCATGTAGTTAATTTGGTGAGTTCACTGTGCTTTCCAGAAAAAGCGACATCACAGCCCTTGTTGAATTCGGAGCATGAGCTGCACTGATCACAAATGACAATTATCTAGCACTTCTGTGATGCTTGGAAATGATTTCGGAATAGTTCGTAACAATGATGATAAGTAGTCAAATGCATCACTGGGCTCAGTGATGAAGACAAACAGAGAATTCTGATTTCCCATCGAAGGGTGCAAGCGCAGAGAGAGAAAAATAAGGTATGAACCAGAAACATATTGGGAGGAATTCGTGACTGGCAGCCAGGAGGTCAGGGGTCAACACGGAGGCTGCCCCCCTGCAGCAGGGACGGTTCCCAGAAGTCCGCACCTGCTCCTGCTGCCCAGACCCGAGGGCCAAGCCCAGGGGCAGCTGTGAGTGGCCTGGGCTCAGGCACATTCCTGCCTCCAGAGACACAGCCCGGTGCTTTCCAGCGCCGGCCAGTGGGCGGGTGGCCACGAGGGGCCCGCACTGAAACCTGGCTCTGTAGTGAGCAAGAGCCTATTGTGACATATTTGGCTCCAAGGAGGGGTCAGTTGAGTTTCAAGGGTGACTCAGGTCTTGGGCTCCAGTGGAGACGATGGGTGGGGTTTGTGTGCGGACCCGCCCCCTCCCAAGGAGGGGGCACCGAGGGTGACTCCAGGGTGCGCAGGTGGGCGCTGTCAGGATACTACCCCGAGCACGATGCTCTCCTGGCCTCCGTGGTCCTGGGAAAAGTGTGCCCAGGCCAGGGGGTCCCATCAGGGTGTGGGTGTGGGTGTGTGAGGGACCATTCACCCAGCTGCCCCCGAGGGAGGGGGTCTCTTCGCTGAGCCACCCTTGCCTCTCCGCCCCCCACAGGGCCTGGCTCAGACCCAGCTGGTCCGCCCTCTGATCAGACCGTGTCTGCAGATCACCAACCGCTCCTGGGGACCGGGAGGTGCAGGGGGTTGTTCAGGCCACAGGCGCGGAGGTCGCCGCGTCCCGAGCGGGTGAGGGGGGGCGGGGGGCGGGAAGCGAGCCGGGCGCAGCCGCGGTGGGTGCGCCCTGTCGAGCAGGGCGGGGGCGCGGGGCGCGCACGCGGAGGCGGAGGAGGAGGGAGCGGGGCGGGCGTGCGGGCGGGAGCAGCGCTACAAGAGGAGGGAGCGCGCCCTGCGCCGCCGCCCTGCGCGGAGCGAGGCTGCAGCGAGGCTGTGCGGAGCGCCGCGTGTCGGTGAGGACGGGCCCGGGCGCGCCCCTGCACTAGCGGCCGAAGCCCAGACGCCCGCGCTCCGACTCCCGCAGCCCAAGCAGCCCAGTGCCGGCCCCCGCCGCCCCGGCCGCGCCCAGCTCGGCGAGGACAGCACCAGGAGACGGCCACAAAGAGCCCCGCGGCGTCTCTCGGCGGACCGGTGCGTGGTCTGCGGTCGCTGGGGAGGGGAACTGCGGAGAGGCCGCCGCGGGGCGCCGGGGATCGCGGGGCACTGAGGGCAGGGCGGACGCCCCGCTCGGCCCGCTGCCGCCCCCACGCCCGCCGTTCCTCGAAAGGCGCTGCCGGCCTGGCCAGCCCGGCCCCGGCCTCGGGCGGTGCGTGCGGGCGGCCCCGGGGCTGCTGGCACCTGCCTCTTTTGTCTGGTGCCTCGGGGCTTAAAATGGGGAGTCGGGCGGGCGCCACCCACCCGCGCCTCCGCCCCGTTGTTCGTGGAGAAGGAGAGCCAGGGCCGAGGGGCTGGGCGCGGGGTTGGTCATTGTCAGAGCTCGCCGCGGAGCGAGGACCAAGTCTGCGCCTAGGAGTGGCCGGGCCAGGCCTCTTATTGTGTGCTCTCCCGCGAGGGTGGCGTGCGCGGGAGGATGGGGCGGTCTGTGCCTGGTGGACGGCTGCAGTGTGGGTGTTGCAAGTACCTTTGCAGCGCCTCAAGTTCCTTCGGGGACAGCGAGGCGGCTGCTGTAGCAGTTGGTACCTGCTGTGCTAAAAGCACGCGGAGAGGGGTCGGCATTTTCCTCCTGGTGGGAGCGCACGCACAGCCCTGCATTGCCCACAAAAGAGGCTGCATTTCCGAGCCGGCCTTGCTAGGAATCGCGGCTGGATGTGGCCAGGAGATGCTGGTAGGGGACGGAGCAGGTGAAAGGCGCCCTGAACTAAACCCCCTCCTTTCCCTTTCATTCCAACCGGCTCCCTCTCTCCACACCTGTGAGTGGCTGTGTGTCCAGATTAGGGCGCACACGCGTGCCGCGGCCACGCTGCAGGCTGTTCCCTGAAGACGTTTCACGAGTGTTCCCAAATAAATTGCCTTGGGCAGGGACAGGAAAATAGGACAGCGTTTTAAGTATGAAGTGTCACATGGCTGCGGGTCAGGAGGGATTTTTAAGAGAGGTTCTGTGCAGAAACAGTGGAGAGGACTCACGCGCCTCCTGCGAGGTCTGTGTCCAGCGGGGCGGGTGCACCGCCGCTGCCTGCGCCTCTCAGTCTGGCTGCGGTCCACCTGCATTGTGGCCCCCCGCAGGGCCTGGCCGGGGCCTTCCGGTCCAGCACTGGTGGAGAGGCGGTAGTGTCTGCGCCTTGGTGTGCTGGGTGGAGGGAAACAACTCAGGAGCTCATCTGGACCGGAGGGCTGCAGGCTCCTCCGAATGGTGGGAAGTCCCCAGGGAACAATGGAGGGTGCTGATTTCTTGGCCTGACAGTGTTTATAGGAACATCTGGGATGAGAGCCGCTCCTACTCGCCCCCCCCGACCCACCCCTGTCCCTCCTTCCCCACCCCAGGTGTCTGTGATCTCAGGCTGTGTGGTTACTTTCCTGGTGCCACTGCCCTTGTGGCCCTGGCCCTCAGCCCCCCCATGGTCTGTGAGTGTGAGGCCGGGTGCGTGCGCCGATGTGCCGTGCAGAAGCGGTGGCTGGCAGAGGCCCGGTGAGCCTGCTTGGGTCAATGTATGACTGAGCCCGCCAAGGCCCGGGAAACCCGTCTAGTGTGATGCCTCACGTAATTGCTGGATGTGTCCTGGGGTTGGTGATGGTCATTTAGTGGTGGCCACAGTCTCGACTGTGCTTTCACTTTGAGTGTGGTTTTTCTTTGTTGCCAGCATCGGCCCCGACTTTTGGGCAGGCGCAGCCGAGGGGAGTGGGAGACGCGGCTGGTGCCTGCCCTGGCTGCTGGTGTGGTCCAGTGCGAGGAAATGTGCTTTTCTCTCTTCACTGATCTTTTTTTCCACTTGCTGTGGAAATTCTTGGTTCTAAAAGCCTGTTCCCTCTAAGGAATTCCAGCGGCTGCTCAGGTTTTGGACCTTGCATGTTGCGACTCGACAAGAGCACTTTCGAACTAGATTTGCTCTCTGGTGGTGCCACTGTGCCATCCTTGGCTAGGGTCCTACGGGCTTCCTGTGGGTTTGTTTGTACAGATTTGGGGAGGGAATTCTAGGGTCGGAAGAGTGATCCCTGGTTTTAAAAAGAAAACACGATCTTCAGAAGCCAGTCCGGCCTTTCTGATTTACAAGTTTGAAGAGTTTAGTGAGTTGGTGTGTGTACTGGTGGCATCATCTCCCCAGTCCCCTCTGGAAGGCAAAGGCTCCTTCTAATAACAGGTTTTAAAAAGTAGAAGGAGTTATGATATTGTGGGCAAAATGTTGGTTCTGTTAATTAATAGCTGCCCGAAGGGCAGGATATCAACCAATAATTGTTTTGAAATTATCTCACTTCAAAATCAGTGCAACCAGTTGATACCTAACTATATACGCTGTAACTTTTCCTGGAAAATGCAAATTAAGAGGCATGAGGTAGTTTTCCTACTTAGGAGGAAAAAATACATTGAATAATGTATTTTTAATCACTTTAGGTTCAATTTTTTTTAAGTCCTCACCCAAGGATATTTTTTAAAAGTTGCTTTTGAGAGAGAGAGGAAGGGGTGGGGGAGAGAGAGAGACGTTGATGTGTCAGAGAAACGCCAGTGGTTCATCTTCCATACACGCCCCAACCAGGAATCAAACCGGCTTAGGTCTGTGCCCCGACTGGAACCGAACCCACAGCCCTTCTGCTTATGGGAGACGCTCCAACCAGGGGAGCCGCCTGCCCAGGGCCTCCTCACTCCCGATTTAAATCACACCCCCTGCCCCTCGCCCCCACCCCGACCCCAGCTGGGGTCAGCAGGAGACTGAGCAGGTGAAGGAGACATTGGAGGCAGCTGACCACTGCCTCCTGCAGGCTCCACTGCAAGTCAGTGGCTGCCCCTGGGGACAGCGAGTTAGGAGTCAGGCCTCAACAAGTCCCTCCTTGACCTGCAAGGAGCGTCTGAGCCCAGGGGGTCTAGACCTCTGGGCCACAGCTCATGGGAGGACCCAGAGGGCCTGCCAACTTCAGAGTGAGGCAGAGGAAACCTGGGTTCAAATCCCACCTCCCTCAGCTAGGACTCGGGACCCCGGGTGTACCCCACTCTCTCTCTCTCAGTCACAGCATTACCTGCCTCGCTGGCCTGTCGTGAGATTTAGAGGGAGTATTTAGCCCGTTACCCAACACTGGGCGGCAGAGTGATCGTGTCGGGTGCAGCACAGACATTCAGTAGACATTAGCTTTTTCCACTTGGCTCATTTTGGGAGGACGCATGCTTTGGGGCATGAAGTTGTAGCCACTGGAATGGGCCAGAGCTCACGGGAAGGTCGGGGGCCTCCGCGGTGCTTCGGACTGACCCCCGGAACGTGGACGCTGCCGCCGAGGGGGGAGTTCAGGCGCCCTGCACTTTGCCTCTTCTCTTACTGTGGCTTTCCCAAAACGCTGTCCTGAGAACTTCCTCCCCTCGGATTCTAGCTGTTTCCACTTGTTGGATTAACCTGGTAGGGCACAGATCCCCCGCCAAGGGGCAACCGCACCAGACTTTGTCATCGGACCCCTCAGCGAGGGCGACCTGATCCCAGAGGCAGCCTCCGCAGAGAGGGAAGGGGGACCACGGGGTGCGGGCCTCCCTCCCCGGAGGTCACGGGCAGGAGTCCCGCTCGCCAGGAGCCTCCCCCAGGAGAACCAGAGGAGAATCTGGTCCTACTGGCTCTTTCTTGGTCGGAGTCAGGAACAGAAAGGCAGCGTTTATCAATAAAAATATTAATACCTATGCTAGACACCACGTTAAGTGCTTTATGTATCTTAACATGTCTGGTGGTCACTGGCCACTCGGGGTGACTGCTCCTGGTGGTTCAGGACAGATGCTGACCTGGCAGGTTTCTCAAGGTCGAGCAGCTGGTGTGGGGTCGGGTCTGCACCTGCATCTCCAGCCGTGAGCTCCTCCAGGACCGACACAGGCAGCTTAGCGGACGGCAAGCCAGAGCCCTGTCGTCCCTTCTCGTTCCTGTTTTTGTAGTTCTTCTCCCCTCTTCCCCCTCCTCTTCCTCCTGCTCCTCCTCCTCTTCCTCCTGCTGTGGCCCAGTCTCTCCAAAGCACTGAATGGAAGTCAACAAGCTATGGGGAATTCACTCTTTAAAACAAGGTCTGTCGAATGTGTGAGCTTGTTGGAAAACCTCCCCTGAGCTGGTAGGACTTGCAGATGGGTTCCATCTGGCCGTGGGGAGCACAGACGCTAAGGAATGGTGACAAGCGATGATGAAACGCGGTCCGCGCCTTCATTTCCTGGCCCGCCCACCCCTGTGGCCGGATGGTGACGTGGAAGCTTCCTTTCCGCCTGCCACCCGGGCTCGCAGGCTGCCCTGCCCGCCGGCCACCGGGAGCTTTGGGGTCACTGTTCTTGGTTCAGGCATTTCTCAACTGTGTCACTCGGGGTATTTTTTTTCTCTCTGTGACTTAGTTTCTCCGTCTGTGAGTAGGTTTGCTGTGACTGTTGGAAGTCAAAGCCCCGGCATTGTTGGGGGTTCTGTCCAGAGTTGTTTCCAATCGAACTAAGGCTGATGAACAAGCGGTTTCCAGGGCCCGCCTCCTTCTTTGTTGTCTTCCTTCTCGCCCCCAACCTGAGAGCTCCCATTAAATATATCTCCAGCTCTAGCGCCGTTCCCACCAGCTGCTCCCAAGCCGAGCCTCTCCAATCGTGCTCTTAAAATAGCCTAAGTGCTCGTCTCTGCTCTTGTCGCTGTGCCCCCAGGTCGAACTTGGACGGCGCCATGTCCCTGGGCAGAGACATGGAGCTGGAGCACTTCGACGAGCGGGACAAGGCGCAGAGGTACAGCCGGGGCTCGCGGGCCAACGGGCTGCCCAGCCCCACGCACAGCGCCCACTGCAGCTTCTACCGGACACGCACCCTGCAGACCCTCAGCTCTGAGAAGAAGGCCAAGAAGGTGCGCTTCTACCGCAACGGGGACCGCTACTTCAAGGGCATCGTGTACGCCGTCTCCCCCGACCGCTTCCGGTCCTTCGAGGCGCTGCTGGCGGACCTGACCCGGACGCTGTCGGATAACGTGAACTTGCCCCAGGGCGTGAGAACCATCTACACCATCGACGGGCTGAGGAAGATTTCCAGCCTGGACCAGCTGGTGGAAGGTGAGCGCCGGGGGGTCAGCCCGGGGGCTGGGCGCGGTCGGGGCCCCTGTTTCCACAGTCCCCTGGCCAGCGCCCACCGGCTCTGGAAGGGGCAGCCCCCCTCCCCCCAGGTCGCCATCCTCTCTGCTCCACACGTTGACAGTGCATGTTGCTATAGTTACCTACCACCCTATAAAAACACAAGCCCAAACCTAGCGGTATTAGGTCAGCTAGCTCATAATAATGAACCGTGAGAACTCTATTTTCTTTCTCACCCCATGCTACATTAATTTTAAAAGTCCATTTTTATAGCTTTAATCACATAGTTCTTCACATTCATTTCTAGATGGAAATTGAGCTTTTGCTATCACAATGTCTTGAAAGCACTCGAACTGAAAGTATTGAATGGATCCTGAAATTTTAGAGGTGAAAGGAACTTCAGATGGGTATCGAACCCATTAGTTTTCTCACCGGGGGGCTGAGGCCCCAAAACTCCGAGTGACAGGTCTGTGGTTACAGGGTGGTTGGCTGGCCGGGATGCTGGACCCCAAATGGGTTTTCCAGCAAATCTTCTCAGTACGATGCTTCCTTTAAGTTTCATGGGGTTGTTACCTCTCCGTGGTAGCCGAGGATTTAAAGGACTTAGTCTGTTCAGTTTATTTTTTAAGGCCGATTCAGGTTCACGGTCACAGTCTGGTTTAGAGGTTCCACGTGGAAGTAGGACTGTTTGGGTCCCTGAGAGGCTGCAAGTCTTGTGCCAGCAGCGTGTCCTTCCTGCTTTGGGCTGCTCTGGCCTCGGCAGCACCCCCTGGGGCAGGACGCACGGCCTCCAGTCGCCTTAGACAGTTCTTCGCAGAGGGAAATGACCTGGAGAGAAGTGATGGGGGTGAAAGTCACGCTCAGGTGTAAAACGAGAGAGAGAGAGAGAGCTGGTCCTCTCTGGAGAGTGGGTTTTTCTGAGATCGAGGTCTCAAGGTCCTGATGGGGGAATCTGTAGCACCAGGGAAGTCTGGAGGCTGGAGCGGCTGGATTTGCCTGAGTCCCTCTTTGCTCCGGACGCAGTTGCCCGGGCCCTGCTCTCCTGTTGGGTCCTGGGGGAGCCCCTTGCAGGTAAAGTCCTCTTTCCCCTGGGCAGGACAACGGGAAGCCTGTCTTCCAGCACCTCACCCCCACCCTCATCCCGTGGGGTTTCTGGTTGCTCCGCCCTGACCTCACACAGGCAGCCCGGCTTGTCCGCCTCTGGAGGCAGAGTTTGTCTGCGATCCAGGCCGAGGGCTTCCATGTCTTCCGCTGCTTTTCCTTCCCTTCGTCCTTGGCCGGGGCAGGGTCCACGTGGCTGGACCAGGGAGCGGGTGGGGGAGCCTGGCTCTGGCGTGTTTACTTGGTGGGAATTCACATCTCTTTCTGGTGACTCGTCACCCTGCCAAGATGCCTGTAGACTTGGCCTTTTCCCTTCTGTTCAGATGTTGGAACTTCCAGTAAATTAAAGCGGCAGAGTGCCCACGAAATCTTTCTGCATCAGCCTTGGGCCCTGTCCTTTTCCCGACCCGGGAAGACACAGAGGTAAAGAAAACACGTGGTGGGTTGTTCCCAGGGATCTGGATAAAGATCAGATGCAAAGGCAGCTGCGTGGCTGGTCCCCGGACCGTCCCTTTGGGGGCTGATGGTGTTGTATCAGGAGGCGAGGCCAAGATCTCCAGGCACTGCTCGGAGCGCCGAGCCTGGCTCCTTGCTCTGCTCGGTGCTGCAGGTGCCGCATCTGCGGCGGGAGGGGCTCTTCGATCAGACCCAGAGGTCTTCCCAGGGTCCCATCAGCACAGGGCGTGAGAGATGGGAGATGACAGCACTTCTCATTCAGATCCAGCCAGATACTCGTGGCGTGCTTCCTACAGTCCCCTTCCTCGGCTTTTTAACACAAAAGAACGCCCCCTCCGAGAGACGCGGGCCGACGGAGGCTCGTCATGAGAGCCCGTCGTGGGCATGTGTCTCGCATGGGCGAACACACTTGATGCTCACCGAGGTCCTAGGGGGCCTGTTATCATCCTAAGACTAAGATGCGGAATGGGAGGCGCAGGGTGGTTAAGGGACCCGCTCCAGGTCACACCGCAAGGAGTGGGAGAGGCAGGATTCCAACCCAGGAAACTGGCGCTGACAGGGGCTCGTGGCTGCCACTAGCGGGTACCGAAGGAGGTGGCCTTCGTGGCTTTTAGACAGAATTTTATTTTATTTTTAAAAATATTTTATTTATTTTTAGAGAGAGGGGAAGGGAGGAAGAAAGAGAGGGAGAGAAACATCAGTGTGTGGTTGCGTCTTATGCGCCCCCTACTGGGGACCTGGCCTGCAACCCAGGCATGTGCCCTGACTGGGAATGGAACCAGCGACCCTTTGGTTTGCAGGCCTGAGCTCAATCCACTAAGCCCCACCAGCCAGGGCTGAAAAGAATTTTATTGTATTAGCTCCTCCTTGAAAACAAATGTTTTCAACCTTGACTTAATTCCAAGAATTCTGCTCCCAGAAACCTCTTTAATATTTTCATTTGCCTCCAGCTACTTTTTTTTTCCAATTGATACGAAGCAACTGCAGGTTAGATATTCTGATGTTAAAAATTACTTTTGGAAAAAAAAGCTCTTTTTCTGACCGAGGGAGCGGTAGCTGCAGTAGAGTGCGTACATTCACGCTCTGGCCTATTTTTTCCCCGCACGGTGACACCCACCATTGGCACGCAGCTGCGCCCAGCGTTGGAGTAGCCGGAAGTTCGTTCAGATCTGCCTCCTTGTCTGTCGCGTTTTGCTTAGTCTGTTAAAGTGCAAACCACTGCTGCGCATTCGTCGTTAGGTTTGTGTCTCTCACTTTACACACCGATTTTGTGGAAACGTCGGTGCACGTTATTAGCTTCTCATTTCCCTTCCTGTAGGGTGGGGTTCGAGTTTTAAATGTGTCGAAGGTGCAGCGACAAGTGTATTTAACTTGTAATTTCCTTACGTTTGTTCTTTCTCACTTGGACTAAAAATTCTGAGTTACAGAGACATTCATGAGGTTCTTTATTTCCATGGCCTGTGGTCACTTGTACTGCTTTATTATAATCACTCATGGATTATGGTGCCTAAATGTGACTCAGCGTGTTGAGAGAGCTGGTGCTTGGCCTGAAGCATGCACGTGTGTACGTGTGTTTGTGTGTGTGTGACCAATTGTGTGTCTAGGCACGCATGCGTGCACACACCCTGGAGAGTCAACTGTGCCTGCCACCCCTACTGTCTGCTTTCTGGGTGGGCCTGCGTGTTTGAAAACCCAGGACCCTCCGTAAGGGAAGCTGAACTGCAGGCCTGTCCCTGCCAGTGGTCGACCTTGAACCTTGGTTGCATTTTCCCAGCCCTGGCTCTGTTTCCCCAGTTTTCACACCACTTACACTCCACTGTGAGTGTGGGAACGGTGTGAAGCAAGGGCCTCTGTCTCGTGACTTGGTTTATTGTGTTTTACGTGCAAAACTTACAAAAGTTTTTGTATTCAAAGGTACCGGTCGTCTTATTCACGGCTTGATTTTTCGTGCCTCTGGGGCCCTCTGTACTCTGAGGTTGTAAAGCTCTTTCCCTCGTTTTCTTTCCCTGAGTTTTTGTTTTCATTTAAAAAATATTCTCCTGGAAGTCATATTGGTGCGATATGTGAGATGGAGATCCAGTTACTGTCCCCCAGGCTGCCCGTCTCATTTTAAATTTTTATTTGGAATTAATTGGGACTTATTAGAAGTGTCACAGGACACGGCGGTCTGCCGTGCCCTTCCCCCACTCGCCTCGATGGCCGCGGCGCGCCCACCAAAGCAACTCAGCCATAGGCTGTCCTCAGCTTTCATCAGTTGTCCCACTGACGCCTCCCTTTCTGGGGGGACAGTTCCAGAAGCACACATTGCATGTGGGTGTCACGTCTCCTTCGTCTCGTCCGAGTGTGACAACTACCCAGTCTTCCCTCGTCTCCAACGACGTGAGTTTTCTGAACAGTGCCGCGTGGTCAGAGGCTCTGCAGAAGGCCCCTCCGCCCCGACGACTAAGTTGAAATCACGCATTCGCGGTGGGAATTCCGCCCACGTGACCGTGCGGCCTTCTCAGGGCGTGGCTTCCGGGGGCGAGGTGCTGCCGCCTCACGTGACCAAGGGGTCAAGGGGGCGTCTCCGGGCATCTTCGCCCTGAAGTTACTGTCTTCCCCTGTATAATTAATCCCTGTCTGGGGGAGAAACTTGGAAGCCACGTGAGTATCTTGTTTTCCTTCACTTCTTGCCCTCGTCGGCGCTGACTGGTGGACTCTGCCCGTAGCAGTTAGTCCTGCGGTGTCCTGAGGCGACCTCTGTGTCCCTCTGTGCTGCCTCCCCTTCAGACACTTCCCTGGCTTAGGGGCGCCTCCTGTGATGTCATCCATTCCCATTATTTTAACCACCTTTTTAAGGCCAGTGACTTCCGAACCAGACCTTTCTTCTGCACGCCAGCACCTGGGCATGTGAGCTGACGCTCCACCCCCTGGTCCCTTCAAACTCAATGTGTATACGTGGGAAGTCGCCCTTTTCTGTCACCGAGAATGTGTTCCTCGTCTCGTGCTCCGCATCTTGTTAAGCGGTGTCACCCTCTAACTCCGCGTCACCCTCCACGTCTCCTCCCTGTCCCCTCAGTCCGAGCTGTCGTGGGCCCCGTGGGTGCTGCGCGAGACCTGTCTCCAGCCTGCTGTCCCCTCTCCGCCACCGTGAGTGGTTTCCTTCCAAGGTGTGGGTGCTGCTGTGACAGCGTCACCCTGTGTGACGGACGGAAGGAGTGATGCGATTTTCTCTACGGTGTGCACTGTAGGAAATCTGGAAAGATGTAAAAGAAAGGGAAGGAAGGGAAGGGAAGGGAAGGAAAGAGCGCCTCTCGTCCCTACGACTGCACTCTCCTGGTCTCCCCCATCCTGTGGGGTGGTCTCTCCAGTAAAAACGCACGTCTCAGCTTTGCTTTTCTTTACAGAATCTGTCTCCCCCCTCCCCCCCCCGCTTTTCCATTCCCATCACAGCCTCTCTCAGATCAGGACCTCGGGGACACACGTGTCCCCCCCCATAAGTCATCTTCGAACACGTTCTCCTGCCTGCCGACCTGGCCACAGACACACCTTGTGCTGTGCGGTGGCTTCTCAGCGGCTTTCTCCTTAAGGATGGAATAGATGTACTTGGGTCTATGTGTCTATTTTTAGACAGTGCAGCGTGTAAGAGAGGGAGACAAACGTCAGTGTGTGGTTGCCTCTCGTGTGCCCCTAACTGGGGACCCGACCCACAACGCAGGCATAGGCCTTGACTGGGAATTGAACCGATGACCCTTTGGTCCGCAGGCCTGCGCTCAGTCCACCGGGCCGCACCAGCCAGGGCGATGCACCTCCGGTCTTCAACGTGCTTCTCGCGGTGATCCGCTCTGCCCCTCCCCGGGGCCTGGCCTTGTGCCCTGTGACTCGCTGATGCGCTTGCTGCGGCTCCTCGCCATCTCCCAGGAGGGGGGCTGTGGGCAGCCTCACAGGGTGCACGGCCTCATCGTCAGGTCCTGGCTCTGGAGTCGGACCCCTCCCCTTGAATCCTGACTCCGCTTGGCCGGCCTGGTGACCCTGAGCGAGCTGCCCGAGGCTGCGCCTCCTGATGCCCTGTGACGCAGGGTGTGTTCACACTCAGCTCCCAGGGCGGCGGGGAGGGTGAGAACATTGCCTGCCCCGGTCTTGCTGGCCTCCAGCCCCACGGCCCTCCCGTGAGAAAAACACAGCATTTGCTGCCTTGACTTCCTCAGCCTCCCAGGAACTCCGAGCCCTGGGTGAGCCCCATCACTTGGAGGAAGCACTGCCCCATACTTACGCATCTCACGTCATGGTCACTGGATGTCACAGAGCCATCAGCGTCCTCAGTGCCTGACGTGGTCGCAAGCACTCAATAAATGGCCCTGGAAGGCAAGGGAAGTGGGGAGGGGTGGAGAGACCAGTGAATGCGGCCTGACTCCCGGGCGCAGGGCTGTGTGCGGCCCCGTAAAAGCCACGCTGGTGATCTCGGGGTGCCCTTTTCTTCACTTGCCGCCCCGGGGCGTTGAGGGCTGACCTCCACATCCGTCCCAGTCGCTTGTGCACTTGCCGCTTCTTCATTTCCACGGCCCCAGGCCCCCGATTGCTCTGGGTCCCCTTCATCAGCTCCTCCGCTTCTGGGCACGCCTCGAAGACCGGGGTGGCCTTGGATTTCGCCTTGTCCCGCTGGGCGTGGTATTTTCTCTACTCCCCGTAGCTGCTGCTGCCCCCTCCCAAACTCCGGGCCTGTGTTGCCAACCTCTTGCTGCACAGCTCTACCCGGTGGGCTCCTAGGAACTTCACACTCAGTGTGTGCCCAACCAGGTTCGTGTCCTTCCTCAGGGACTCACCCAGACGTGTCCCCTTCTTACCCGATCTACTGTGGCGTACGGGAGGCCGGCCCACACAGAAGCTTCGGGTCATCTTCTCAAGGTCGTGGGCCCACCATTCCCATGGGCCCCGCATCCAGCCGATTCCCAGCTCTGGTCCACGCTGTCACAAGCACACCTTGTCACATCCCGTCCTGTCTGTCCTCAGTGCGGTGTGTAAGGCTCTCCAGCTCCTCCCGGTCTGTTGGAGCAGCTCTCCAAACGGAATGTTGACCTCTGTCTCCCGAGTAGTGATCCCTCCACGCTGCAGCCCCTGCGATCCCTCCAAGTCCCCGGTGCCATGGCTGAAACTTGGACCTGGTTGCCCGCTGTGCTCTTACTCTGCCTGCGGAGTCGTTTTTAAAGACACAGTAATGTCTCACCACCCCTTTCCCGGACTGTGCGGTGGGGCATGCTGTCATTCCAGGTGTATCTGGACTGCCGTCCCCTCCCTTCTCTGCCACTGCAGAGCGGACCCTTGCCTCGCTTCCCAGGCCAGCGTGGGTTCCATGTCTTCTTTGTCGATGGACAGGTGGGGGGAGGGGAGTGACTTTCTCCTCTGAATCAGAATTGCCTGGACCACTTAGCCAGCAACGGCCGCTCTCTGCCTCTTGGTGAAATCCCTTCATGTAACACACCTTGCCTTCTGGGGTCTTTGAAGACAAACTTGCGGCTTAGGATTCTTTTTGCTTCCCGGAGTGGCTAGTTTAGGTCTTGTACCTGTTATTGAGGATCTAGTTGGCTGTTTGAAGTTTTTACGTTTCACGGCCCTTGTTGCGTACAGGGGGAACGTGGCCCTGGTGGGGAGAATGAAGGAGCCCGAGAAGATGGGGCCCGGCCTGCAGCCACAGGGGTGCAGCGGCTGTGAGCCCGGGCTCCCCATTCTCTGCCCTCCATCCCTTGCACACGGTCCCCCGACAAAGCCTTCAGAAACATGCTGTGGGCCTGGCTGGCGACCTGCGTAAATCCCGAGAACAGCGCGGCTGGGACCAGTCACGGCCCGCTGGGCGGCTCGAAGCAGGGATCGCCCCGTTCGTACCGACTGTACCACTTCTAGTGAGGCCCGTGCACGGACACACACCAGAGTGTGCTTTAAAAGCATTTTCAAAGTATGCGTTGGCTCCCCTGTACGACTGTGCTTCTCTAATTCGGACACCCCGGTTTGGTTATTTTTCCATGTGCACTTAGCCTGTGGCCTTGGGTCCTTGCAGCATTAATTTTAAAATAGGACAAAGATTTAAAATAGGACCATGGATGAAAGTCAGTGGGCTGTGTAGGATTAGTGTGAGCTCACTCACCTGCAGTTAGGAAGGCTTTGTCACGTTTTGTGACTATTCCAGTCACAAAAACTTATTAACACGGGGGGGAGCCATTATCAAACCGTCAACTTCAAAGTGCTTTGACTAACTTTATGAAATATGCATCTGTAAGATCAGTCACTTTATAATTTTTCATTGCGTGGCACACGTGTTCCTTTGTGTGTGCGTGTCTGTGTGAGATCCCCATCTGCTTAATTGTCCAAGTATTCTCATCGGCCGATTCCCCATGAAGAAGTCACTTTTAATAAAAGTTTCATCCGTTTGATACATCTAATCATTTATAAAGGACGGCTCCTGTTTAATTACCACATCCATCATCTCCCGTATTTTATCTTTTTGGTGAGAACATTTAAGCCCTCCTCTCTTGGAGAGAACTTCCTGCTTTACACGGTACAGTGTTGTGAACTGCGGTCACTGTGTTCTACATCAGATCTCGGTTCTTATTCATTTATATGATCGTGTTTATCTTAGGGCCAGTTTATGAGCTGCAGTTCCTAGTGCGTGGGGGTCACCAGGCTGGGCCCCGCGTGGATGGCAGAAGAGGCAGCGTGGTTACCTGGCTTGCTTTTGGAATTCTGCTCGATTTTACAAAATGCTAGTGAACAGTCCCATCAAATTTATAAGTTACATAGCTATTTTAAGAAGTGGTTTGCTGACCCATTTTTTGTTTTTACATTATTTCAGGGGGGGGCAGATAGATGTACACCCGATTTTGAAGTTGTCTGCCACTGTAAATATTGCTAAATTCCACAGGATTCAGTTCTATGCCCTTCTGGGGCTCACTGAACAGTGGCATTGCCCTCACCCGTCTGAAGGTGAAGAAAGGGAGGAAGGATGATTATTTTTCCCCTCCCGGGATATCAGTCTGTTACTGACAGAGCCCTATCAGAAGCTGAAAATCTTTCTTTTTCACTAGTGATTAATCACACTTCCTGGTTTCAAAAGTCACCCCTCGCTCTGCCCCAAAGTAGGAAAGAAAAAAAAGTCTGGGAAATAAGGAGTGAGTTTACCTTTGGGTAAATTGCCATTTGTCCTCTCTGCAGGAGAGAGCTATGTGTGTGGGTCCATAGAGCCCTTCAAGAAACTGGAGTACACCAAGAACGTGAACCCCAACTGGTCGGTGAACGTCAAGACCACCTCCGCGGCCCGGCCCGTGTCGTCCCTGGCCACGGCCAAAGGCAGCCCGTCGGAGGTGCGGGAGAACAAGGATTTCATCCGGCCCAAGCTGGTCACCATCATCAGAAGCGGGGTGAAGCCGAGGAAGGCGGTCCGGATCCTGCTGAACAAGAAGACCGCCCACTCCTTTGAGCAGGTGCTCACGGACATCACTGACGCCATCAAGCTGGACTCCGGAGTGGTGAAGCGCCTCTACACCCTGGACGGGAAGCAGGTGAGGGGCGCCCTGGGCTGCCGGACTGTGGCCTTGGAGGCGAGATCAGGGGCGGGGTGGGGTCGCGGGGATTTCTGTGGCAGGTGGTGGAGATCTGACATACCCGTTTACGGGCGGTGAGAGAGTCGGGTCATTCCGTCAACAAACACATAGAATACAGTAAGTGTGCCCATCGGGCCGCTTAAAGGATTACTCAGAGATCTCTGTTCTCAGCTACTGATCGGCAACCTGATGGTGCCCCTGAGCTGTCTGATTCCCACAGTGTCATAAGGTCACGAGAGTCTTGTAGCCTCCAGTGTGGCTGAGATGGACGCTCTGGCAGAGGAAAAGCCCCCTCCTTTCTTTGGCCCAAACAGTAGTTTACAGAGTTTACTCTCTTGGTGATGGCCACGGTAAGATTTGTCTAAATTTTATAGGCTTTAAGTCCATAGTGGAAGGATACAGCGCTTCTTCCATGGGCGTGGCCTATTTCTAGAACATTATCCATCTTGTTTCGAAGACATAACTTTGGCATTCAAACGAAAGGGGGTTCTTCAGGGAGGGAATGTAGACAGTGGTTGGCGTGGGTGAGCGGACACCTTCATACGTGCTGCTCGGGTGACCTGGACGGTGGTCTCGGGGGACTTTGGGGGGTTTGACAGCCCCAATTTGGCGCCGGGCGGAAAGACGCCCTCGAGTGTGTGCAGCGCGATGGGCTGGACCGGGAGGGTTTTCTGGCCCCTTCTCGTTCGGGATTATCATGTCTAGCACAGCGCCTTTGCTTGAGATTTAGTTTGTCGTGTGGACCAGCGCAAATGCCTTTGAAAAGTTGTTTTAAGGGATAGCATGAATGATTTGTATGGGGCATACCTATCAAAAATCAGAACTAGATTCGTGCATTCAGAGGTCGATCTTAGTGAGCAGAAAACCAGAAGTTCCTGATGGCGAACACACTGAAGCAGTGAATTAGAAGTGCATGCAAATCCTAGAAGGTGTGTTGGTTGCGGAAGTGTGCTTCCCCCGGAGACCCAGCCAGCGCCCTGCGTTACAAACACCTTAGGGAGGAAGGAGTGTCTGCCAGTCATGTACCCCCTCCATCCGCCACTTGTCTCATGAAACTCCCCCCAAGTAGCCCATGGATGAGGGTTCTGAGGGATGAACCCGAGTTTTCCGGGTCTAAGAGGGTAATAGCCCAAGTGTCACCAACATATCAGTGACCAAAAGTCCACCGCCGGGCTGTGAGTGACAGCAGCAGGGGCGTGGGCGGGCCGCCCCTGGAGCACCGCCTGCCAGGAGCAGCCCAGCCGTCTTGCAGTCCCACCCCTTTGTGTGGCGAGTTCTCCCCATGGGGGTTGATCTGTATTCGTAATAGTGCGATTTACGACACAGGACACCTATGGATGAGCCTTCTTCCTCACCACTGGCTCCAGGGTGTCCGGGGGTTCCAAACTGCCACAGGCCGAACAGAACATCAACTCTAATTGTGTGAGTAAACTCCGGGGCGGACTGGTCCTTCGCTTGGTCTAAGGGCGAGTTCCTAGAATAGGCCCTGAAATATTCTCGGTCGTTTTCTTCCTTTTAGGAATTTACCAAGTGTTTGTATTAGATTGTGGCTGGTTTTGCTGTGGGCTAGTTAGTGCGATGGTTTAAAAAAACCAACTTCAAGGTTTAATAACGTCAGAGGGCGGGGATTCGCATCTTTGACTCAGCCACAGACTATTTATGTTTTTAGCATGTTGCTCACGGGGACCTCATTACCCTCCCCAGCAAAACGTGGGTAAAACGACCGCCCATTTCACAGAGTGTGTAAGAGGGGGAACTGTAAGAACACAGGTGGAAGGAAGTTTGAACTATATAGTAACGCGAGAGCTTTAGCGTGGGCGTGTAAATGCTTCCGGTGCATTAGCACGTTCAATCATCGTATCAGCTCGATTGTTGCCCCCGTGGGGCAGAATGGGGCGCGGAGGCACCGAATTTGTTGAAAACAAGACTAGCACGTCTGAGACCTCGCAGACTTGGACTTGAACCCGTCTCCCTCCAGAGCCTGTGCTTGTAACCCCCAAAGGACCGCAGATTTTATTAAAACACCGAACAGACCTGCACACACTGAGCCTTTTCCAGCGAGTGATGTGTCCACACACTGTCACCCGGAAGGTTCCTGCCGCGTGGCGTTCTCCCGCGGGCGTGGCCAGGTCGGCGTCTGCTCCGTGGCGGCGGCGGCAGCAGCTCTCTCCCGAGAGAGGGCAGGGAAAGGCTGCGGAGGATCAAGAGGGGAAGGAGCGTAGAAGACGCCAGGATGGCTTCCCGGGGGGAACGGAGACACTTCCTCCTCGGCCCCGCGGGTCTTCGGAGCCGTTTCTGTTCAGAAGAGAAATCGCCCCGTGAGTGGTTTGTTAGCGTCCCCGCACAGCCTTGCAGGTGCCAGGGCCCGATGACCCTCCTCGGACACCCCGCCGCTGTCCCCCACGCCTCCCGGCTGGTCACGAGAGGCCCTGGGAGAGGGGCCGGCGGCACAGGGTCCACGGGCTGTGCTGGGACGTCCCCCGAGGTTGCTCGGTCCGCCTCTTTCTCTTTTTAACAGCGTAACTGAGTCCTTGCATCAACTAGACAAGGGACAGGGGGAACACAGGGCCCGATAAAGTGATCAGAGGTGGATTTGGGGGGTGGGGTTGAGGGTGCAAAGTTGTTTGAAAGCATTAGCAGCTCTAGAGCTCCGAGGGATGAGCAGAGGGGAAGGGGTGCCGGCTTTTCAGATCGCTCGTGCATCCTGTGGCCGAGATGTACCCACAGGATGGGAACTGGGGACGCGGGGGTCCCGAAGATGGCACTGTGACAGCCCTGCCTGCTGCCACCTGTTCCTCGGAGGTGTCACCCAAGGGCCAGGTCACATGCCACTCTCTCTCACGTCCCTGCTCTGCACAGCCTCCTTGCTCCTTGGCCTTTGGGGTTGGCTTTAAGCCCTAACCCGGAGTCCCTTGCGCAGCGGGGTTCTGAGGGTCTCGGGTCTTTTGGCCGAGACGAGCGCCCACCCGGGGGAGGGCTGCGCCCCTTAGACGCATTTTGCAGGCAGCTGCGGTTTCCGCACACGACCCCGGAGGCTCCTGAGCGGCCTGTTCCCGAGCAAACCCTTTCTAGTTATTTCATCTCCATTTTTTATTCAGGCCATTGGAGCGTCACAGAAAGGTTGCCGCCCCCTTGCCCCGTCCTCACACCCTTGGGTGGGGTGGGGTGTGCTCTGCTCACCAGGTGGTCAGGCACTTTTCTGCCCTGGCTGGGCGGGGGGGGGGGAACGTGAAGAAATACCTGCTGTGCCTTAATGTCAGGGTTGTGTCACTGTTCTGGCCTTGATGGTGGGGCCCCCACGCTGGATGGAGGTCATTCTCCAGGTGAAGTCTGGACCCGACTCCATCTCCCCAGCTGAGAGGCGTGTGTGGGGTGTGAGAGTCTCCCCCCTCTGTCCAGGCTGCAGATGGTGGGGTTTTCGGGGGGTCACTCACTCACCCTGCCCGCAGCCACTCCCAGAGGTCCCTGGAGTGCGACCGCCTTTTTAAGTGAGGAAAACAAGCCCCCAAGGTCGAGGGCGTGCTGCAGAAACATGCTTGCACAGCTCCTGACGCCTTTTCTGGGAGTGGCTAGGCCGGCTGTCTTGGGCTGCTGAGTCCCGTAAATCCGGCGATTCCTGAATCCTCGAGTAGAGGCAGAGCCGCAGCGAGTCCTGGCAGAGCCGGCGCCGGAGCGGGCAGGTCACTCTGCGGGGATCGCAGGAAGATGCTTCCCGGTGACCCCCTCCCCCACTGGAGTAGAGCAGTCGTTCAAAATAGCCTCGAAATGGCGCAACGACGTCCATACACTAGGTGGCTCTTTAAGCGGAAAACACGCACACTCCCATCCTGCTCACCCATCCACAGGGAGCCTTGTGCAAAATGCAGCCCAGGGACCACTCTCTCAGGGACGGTGCGTTCACACCAGTCGTGTTCTGTCTCTGCTCCCACCGGAGGGTGAGCAGGCAGGCAGTCTGTGGTCGTTCTCATACGGAAAACACGGGGACCCCCGTGGTGGAAGCCGAGGCGGCGTGAACTGATCGAGGGGCTGAACTGTGAGAACGGGTGTTCTGGCGGCCACCTCCGTCCGTTCGGGTGGCGGTAACAAGCCCCGCAACAGAAATTTATTTCTCACGGTTTCAGAGGGTTGAGGGGCCAGCACCAAGGTGCCGGCGGCTCTGGCCTGGTGACAGCCCCCTTCCTGGCCAGTTTTTGCAGCCGGAGAAGCTGGGGAGTCCAGGGGCCTTTCCAAATGGGCACGAATCCCTTTCACGAGGGCTTCACCCTCGAGGCCTGATCACCCCCCGCAGGCCTGGCCTCCTAAGGCAGCCACCTTGGGGGGCATGATTCAACACAGGGGTTTCTGGACTCACAAGCGTTCAGACCAGGACCACGTGGCTGCCGGACTGAGGGAGCCCGGGCAGCTGTCAGCAAATGAGTTAGTTACTGTGTCCTCACTGTCGGTTTGCAACATTGCATCCCTTTCTGTGTTATAAACATAACGCGCAAAGGTGCCTGGCAAATGAGCCATCATAACTGGAGTCATTTAGTTTCGGTAGCTAGTGTACGAGCTTCTTGGGGGCCAGGCAGTCGTTGGGGTGGTCGACAGGAATCTGTCAGCACGTGTCACAAGATGGTCTTTGGCTTTAAATATGTAATTCTAACGTGAAGTAAGAGTGATTCGGTTCACGCCTGAGTTTAGAGAGTTCCCCTTACAAGTGAGAAAGTTACACATATTCCTGCTCCATCTGACCTTAGCAATGAATGGGCCCAGAAAATGTGAAGGTTTCCAAGAGAAAAGGAGTTCAGGATGGGACAGGATTGGGTTGGACTGGAAAAGGAGATTTTTCAGTAGCTGCTGGTCACGGTGGCTATTTTAAAAGTGAAACAGCCACAGTTCTAATTAACTTCTTGAAGCACGTTTTAACCCTTTAATCTTGGCAGACGGTTTTTACTGTTAGGATTTGGTGTGTTATCTAT